TCAAAACTTTAATGATTGATATATGTGAACAACTAACCTGACTTTCAATTTTGACTATCACCCAATCTCTAACTGGATGCAAAAAGCTGGCACATAGGGTCTAATACTGACAAAAAAATAACAAAATCGAACATTTTCTCTTCTTGGTAACCATAGCAACCGTGTTGTATTTTTCAAAAACCTTTATCAATAAATGATACTCAACTTTAGTTCTACGAGATGAGTACTATTCAAGGTGATTCAAATAATATTTTTCTCGATTAAAAGGTTAGTAAATTCCTAAAGCAGCCAAAAAATATCACTTTAAACAACTAGTACTTTGTTTCCATGGTTACACTGCAAAGTAACAATTAATCTCAATTTTTCTTATGTTGTTGATGTTGCATTGTTGAATTTTATTGTTTTTTCCTTACGATAGTAGCATTAACCCAATCATAGCAACATATTTTGCATGGTGACACAGACACTGTGTTACCATGGCAACAATGAAAGTTATTTTTAGAATAATATTGCCAATACCTATTTACATGAGGTCAAATATTTTTCATTGTTTTTCTTGCGTTGTTGATTGAGTTTGATCATGTAAATCTATCATTTGTGACTATAGAGCGTTTTTCAGCATTTTTCAGCATCTAAAATGTATTCCAAATGTACCCATGGTTACTACTTACTTAGAGATAAATTCTAAATAGTTTCTTTATAGCATAAGTGGCAACAAGGTGTCATGTTTTTGGGAGAATGGTTTGTTTGTTTTTCTTAGTCTTCATTAAGGCTTAATAAAGATTTAAAGCAGCTGAAAATCTCAATTTTTTCAACTTTTCTGGCTGTTACCATGGCAACCAAGACACATAGCAACGAAATTTTATTAGATATATGTTTCTGGTGTCAAGTTCTAATAATGGGCAAAGTTTCATCAAAATTGGTGACCATGCGTGGCAAGAAGTTTAAGTGGTTACAGAGAATCGCTATGAATTCCTTATAAATCAGTTAACTTCCTGTTTCTTAGCTAATTAGAGCTTATTAATTAAGAGTTGAAAAAAAACTTTCAAGCCTAGAACCCCAACTTTTCAGCTTGCATTTTATTCCAAATTTTTTTTCTCAATAATTCACTCATTAGTTTTTTTTTTTCAAACTTTGAAATTAATATACTGTAGATGAATTTGTACAAAAAATTTAGCCTAAAATTCAACTAGAACTGTCCAAAAGGGACAAATACCCCCGCTGGGATTTTCAGAGAAGGTATCAAATCACTAATGTTTTCTAGATGTGAGAGGTGTTCACAATTTGCCTAAACATTTAGAGTGAAAATTTAATTACTCATTATATTTTTTTTAATGAATGAAACTAAGGTGCAGCCTAATAAAACATCAATACTAGTAATTACAGTGTTTTTTATTACATTGAAAAAATAGTTTGCAACTATCTTTCATCTTTATGAGACATGACACTCTGCAAATTGATTGTTGAAAAAAAAATATCATAATTAATTATACAAAATCAAATTGATCTTAATACCTTTATATCAAACTCATTTTAAAAATAAAAGGCTGGTTCCGGTAATTATGTATTTTGACAGACATAAATTACAATTAAGAGACTTAGACAAAAGAGACCTTTATTTCTTTCTGCCCAATTCCCAGGAGATATAGATAAGACCTGCTTGATCAGAGATGCCCTAACAGCTTCCCACACTGAACTCATTAATTAATCTTTAACTGGATGCATGTCCACTCATTACTCCCAAGGGACAAATGCATTTACACTATCTGCTGTGTAATGTAAAAACTGTTTTTAATACTTTGTGATTTTTTTTAGTTCTATTGAGTAGTTTTAAGCTGTAATTCACATTTTTGTACAGATGTTCTAGATTCAATGTCTCAAACCTTAGACATGAACCCGAAATGACTAAGTCAATAAAAATGAAAAAAAAAAACACTTGTAAAATGTAGAAAAATTATCAAATAATGTTGAAAATACCAGGTGCACATCTTCATATGGTAAATAATAAGTGTACAGATTTTCATACAAATCTATGCAATAGTCTCTGGGAACAGATCCAGACAAAACCCCATAATAAAAATGAAAAAAAACACCTGTAAAATGCCAAAAAATTATCCAATCATGATGAAAATACCAGGTGCAGACCTTCATATGGCAAAGAATAAGTGTACAAATTTTCAGAGAAATCCTTGCAACAGTTTCCAAGAAATGGTCCGGACAAAATCTCGTCTACAGACAGACGGACAAGCTGATTCCAATATACCCCCCTAAACTGCGTTTGCGGGGGTATAATAATCTGTTAGGAAGAGTTATCTCTTATTTTTCATCCCTTAAGGGGATAAAGGACTCATGGTCACATGACTCTGTTTAACTACGTCATAGTCTCTGATAATATGACTCTGTTTAACTACGTCATAGTCTCTGATAATATAAGTGCAAAACTTGTAAAGCATCGGTTCTTGTGTAAATTTTTAACAATATTTTTTTACTTTAATTATATAAAAAAAGTTTTAATATTCTTTTAAACATGTACAAATTATGAAAAAGATTGATCCACTCCACTGTTTCCCTAAACTGCGCGTCCAACAAGTCCATGACGTCATACACGATCTGTTAGTACAGCAAGATCATACTCGGTGAATACAGGGGCAGTATTATTATGTAAAAACAGGTCATAATCAGTATATGATGAAATATTTTTGAGAAACGGGGAACACAAAAATTATTTTCGCATGGCTGATGACAGAAATCTTATGTAGGTATATCTTATTTCGCTTATTTACCTTACGTGTGACGTCATAGTTGGTTTTTACAGTACTCGAGAAATCTAAACATGACACGTTTTTGTCATGCTTATGTCCTCTTTAACGATGTCCTGTGCAATATTGAGGCCAACTTCACCATTCGAAGTTTTTACTTTTCAATAATCTAAAGGATTTGCATTTCAATTATAGTTCTATATATATAGAGAGACAATTTCTTTTTCTTTTTTTCATTTTCGGCAACTTTTTTTTAGGCCTACAGTATTAATTTTGGATTCATGTACTAGGGATATCATATCTTAAGCAGAATTGAGCCACTGAATTAAAGGGAACTCTTTTTTTAGGTACGCATGATGCAACTTCCTAGATGGTGTGTAGGCTGTTTGTCAAAATGTGAAACCCACGTGTATTTTGGGGTAGATATGTTTACTCTCGATTTTCTTTCTTAAAAGCCGCACAAGGCGTATTTTTTCTGATCTCAAATTTTTTCTCAGCAGTAATCTTTATTTTCTCTTTCATGATTTATCTGCTGAGAGTCTAGTTAATTAATTTATTCAATTAAAGCTATATAAATACATGTAGTGAAATTATTTGCTTGTGTGGGACCTTATAGAACTGGGGAAATCCCTTAAATCTTAAGCGTTTGAAAGACTAAGATATAAACTACCATGGGCTTACTCGACTGGCAGTTCCTCCAGGGAGAATTAACGGAATTCCAAACGAGCGAATCGGAATCGCTGTTCTGGTACTGTTGGTACAGTTCCTGCCAGATAAGTGGTGCAGACGGAATCAAAATGGCGGAAAATCATCAAACGATATATCGCATAAATTCTTGCTCCCTTTGCAATATGATATTCCCTTCGATGCAGAAAAAAGAACATTCATTAAACTGGTCATTTAGACAATTTACCGGTAAGCATAGATTTATTTTTGTTGACCGAAGTAATGCAAAGTCAGTACAAATTGTACCGTAATAATTTTATATATATATATATATATATATATATATATATATATATATATATATATATAAATGTATATTCATTCAGAAGTAGTCAATTAGGGGGTTCAGCCCCCTCCCCCGTTTCTAATTGTTTTTCCACCTTCGACCAGCTGGCCAGTGAGGATTTCAACAATTCAAGGCATCTCTGAAACTCCCACCTGACTACAATAAACACATGCACATGAATTAAATAAATTATATAAGGTTATAATATTTATGTAGTCTAATAAGTTAATCTGTTTTATGTTGCTACAGGTGCCTTTCCTGATATGACAATTGTTGGGACAGAGTCCTCGGATGAAGTGAACAAAACGCCTCATATGAAGAGGAGGAGTCTTGTTCAATGTGAAGAGTGCCAACTGTTCTTCTCGGACATGGGCATTTTTACCAAGCATTTATGCTGTAGGAACGGTAAGTATGACTGAAAATGACTTTTAAATGAGATCTTTTTATGCACTGTTCTTGGTTAAAATTCGAAACTTTGACAGGCTTTCTTTTCAATTTTTTTTAAATTCAATTTTTGCCCATTTATGTTAAAAAGTCAATGAATTTTTTAAGTTTTCCAAGACAATGAAAGACAATCATACTAAAGGCATTTTTAGTCTATTAAGGGGTTTATTTCCTTATCTAATTGTTTAATCAGACTACCAACTGAAATAAAATTGAAGTCAAAGATCTGTCATGCTTATGATACGGAGATTTTCAAATTTACCCTTTTATACAGACCCTTAGCATAGTGAAACTTGTACCTTTAAGATAATTATGATTATAAATGTTAAAGGGCCTGTCACATCTGAAATCACTGATGTACAGGGAGAAACCGATGACTTACCCGATATTCCTACCACTACAGAAAATAGAGAGGGGGGTGGGTTTTGGTCTAAATCCCCTACACTCTTGCTACTAAAAGAGTATAAGAACCATAAAAATGCCCTTGAAACTGGTGCAGACTGCGAAAAGTAGCTCAGTGGTCAAAAATCTCAGGGAAGCTGAGAGAACAAGGTTATAGATACTCGGAGATGCAAGTGAGTGGCCGGTGGAAGACCCTTGTTTGCTTGTACAAAAAGACCAAGGACCATAATGGCAAGCCTGATGTGTAGAGAAAATGTGGGAATTGTAAAATTTTATCATCAATTATCATTGAGAAATGCATTTTTTTTTCATTGATAGCACAAAATAGTATGTGTATTTATTTTTCAGGAAATGTCAAGAAGGACTTTCCATTCTTCTCTAAAATGGAGGATATCCTTGCACTACTGGACGAAAAATGAGCTGAGAATCCCAAATTTTACTGATAATGTTTGATAATTACTGATACGGTGCTGTTCTTGCTGATAAATACTGATATTTACTGTTATTATTACTGTCGTTGCTGATAATTTTAGTTGTTTCTGATAAATACTGATAATTACTGTGGTCTTTACTGTTGAGTCTGATAAATACTGTTGATGTGCTGTCGATGCTGAGATTTACTGATAATTACTGTGGTCTTTGTTCTTAAGCTGGGAAGGGCTAAAGAAGAACTGAGGGCTGTAAAAACCTTCAATTATTTCTTTCTTTTAATTATAAATTATCATTACATTTTCATATTTCTTTAAATGTTCTGCTAGTGACAAAAATTACGCTGATCTCATTTACTACAATACGGTTGTGAAAATGTTGACAAATGGTTAATTTTGTTTTGTAGAAGAAATGTCGACTAGGCCCATATTATGTATGAATAGTAACAGCTTATTTTGTTTTTAACAGGCTTGAGGCATACACACGCAATGCCCACTGCTCCAGGACAGACCTCACTACTGCTCAAGATTATGTGATGGCCTTACCTGATCCTCAAAAATATGAAGATCTAAACAGTGACAAGAATTTTCCTGGGTGTAATATGGATAACATCACCACATACTTGGCACACTTCAATAAAAATCTGGAATCAAAAGCAAGGAATTTGTACAATGATGGATTTATTAAGTACATCCGTACCACTGCAGACAATTCCCTATGGTATGTTAGGAGTGCCATTAGAGCAGAGATGTCAAAGTCTGTAGTGTATACTATAGACATTGTGATGGAAAATGATGGCAACATTGCAGAGTGTCAGTGCGAGTGTGCAGCTGGAATGGGACCACTTGCGCACTGTAAACATATATGCACAGCCCTGTATGCATGTCTTTCCTTTAAGACAAATGGAATTGTGAAAACGGAACAAACATGCACACAAAGGCTGCAGACATTTCACAGAGTGAGGCCACATAGAGGAACCCCTATGAAAGCGAATAACCTGGACATGCCGGGATGTGATGAAGTTTGTAATTTTGCTGATGGATTTGATCCAAGGCCAATAGAATATAGGAACAATCCAGGATATAAATCATACTTCCAGAATGTATGCCTTTCTTATCCAGGAGTAAGCAAGACTCCTATATTTCAAACTTTCCCTCCAGCAAATATGAGGGGAATTGATGTGGACCATGACTATTTTACTTTTCAAGGTAGCTGCGAGTATTTGAACAGTATAAATGTTTCAAAGATAGCCTAAGAAGAGGCACGGATTCTTAATTTAAATACAGCAAAACAGGCTGCATGCAATATGTGGCACGAAGAAAGATGCAAGCGTCTGCACTCTTCTGTGTTTGGCAGAATCTGCAAAATGACTGATAGAACAGACAAAGTAAAACTAGCAGAGACACTTGTTACGAAACAACGTCGACTCCATTCAGCTCCAATTCTCCATGGACAAAAGTTTGAAAAAGTTGCCATAAAAAAATTCCAGGACATAACTGGACATACAGTATATGACACAGGAATTTGTGTAAGCCTAACAAATCCCTATTTGGCTGCTTCACCTGATAGCATCATTGATGAAGACACTGTTGTTGAAGTGAAGTGCCCTTATGTGGCAAGGAACGAAATGATTTCTCGACAGACAGTCCCTTATATAAGACAGAACAATGGTACATTTTCATTGGACAAAAACCATGACTATTATTATCAAGTTCAAGGACAACTTTTTTGTGCAGAGAAAAAAACTTGTTTCTTTATTGTGCATACATTCAATGATATTTTATTTTTCCAAATTCAAAGAAACGATACTTTCATTTCAGAGATGATAGGAAAACTAAAGTTTTTCTATGAAAATAATTTTAGGCCTGCTGTTCTGGAAAAAAATTATTTTAAATCTTATGAAGACTGTCATTGTCCAAAATAAAAGATTGATGCAGTCAGTTTGTGTTCATTTTAATTGTTATAGTAATGCACTAAGTTAGAAATTAAGACAACATCAAATATAAAACCAATATATATAAATAATGAAAGCAATTCATGTTGCTATGCATAAGATGAGACAATACAGGTTTTAAAATTGCATAACATAAAACAGACAAAAGTTATATGTGAGGACAGCTTTGTCTCTGAACTATTCATTGGTTCAGTTAAAATTTTAAAGGTTTTAGCAAGACCAATAATTCGCTCAATATGCACCCTTTTGCTCGAAATTTTTCTGTCTTGAAGTACAGTTGCACATGACATTCTGTTCTTTTTTTTTGAAAAATGTAGGTGTGTTTATCTGAATATTTTTGTGAACAAACATGTCTTGCACATTGAATCCTTTATCAGCCATGATAGAGTCACCAGGATCACATAAATTCAGCAAACTGCTACGTTCCACTATTTGTCTGTCACTTGTTGAACCACCATATGCAGAAGATACATAGGAAACTAAGCCACCAGGGGTTGCACCAACCAGAATTTTCACTGTGTTCTTATTTTTGTATGTTGAGAATGTAGCTTGCTGGGATTTTGGTTGTTTTGGTTTTTTGATAGGACATTCTGTTCCATCAACTAGAACTCTGGTTTTTGGAAACTTTAGTTTAAAATCAGAGGGACAAAAATATTTCACAAGGGATTTCGGTGGCCATATATCAACTTCTCTCCACTGTTTGGACATAAATAGAATCCAGGTATAGAATATATTAGATACAGTTTTTTCTGAAATGCCGAATAATCTTGACAATTCGAAATTAGTTCTGTGTCTCCTTAATTTGATGAGAACAAGAAAAAATTGATCTGGAACACTGATATTTGTGACTTGGTGATAAACATAATTTAAAGAATATGCTGCAGGACCTAAAGTTCTTAATACAAAATAAAATTTAGAGATAGTTTCCAAACCAGTGTAAAAATGAATGCCAGCATCATCCTTTTCAAAGTTATCGATGCACATTGGTGGAAATGTTGGCGTTTGTGTTTCCACATTTTGACGAATTGTTTGCTGATCATCATGTTGACTTGAGACATTTTCATTAGTAGTACTGCTGTAATCACAGATAGTTTCTTCTACAATATTAATGTCATCAAAAAACACTTCTTCTGAACTGTGACTGGTAGATGCAATGTCTTCTATTAATTTTCTTTTGACACCCCTTGTCCTAGCTCTGTCAGCCCTGGCAAGTACAGCTGGGCTTGCTGGATCTGCCCATTGGAAAAGGCTGGGTATTGCTGTTCTCTTTAACCTCTTACTTAAAGGTGTATTTCCTGGAAATACATTGATGATATTCATCAATATTTTCAAGAAAAAATATATATTTCAAAGTTTTTTTTTCATTTCAGTATGTAAAACATTTAATGATTAATAAGAACATATGGATATGTAAAAAAAAAAAATTAAAAAAAAAATATGAATAAGTTTGACTGAAGATGCAAACTATTAATTAATTACTATGGCATTGTTTTTCTTTGTTTGATAATCAGGTTAGGAGATTAGACTAATGTAATTAACAAATGCAGAAGAAGTCATCATTTACCACAGGTGGTCTCATTGAACATAGAAATTTACGATGCCAGATGTTTACACAGGGCAGTTGTTTACGTATGTATGGCATGTTTCCGATAGTGCAAATCAGTGGGGGTGTACTCTTGGCATTTGATGTCAAGAGCTGTTGTTTACGATATAATTTAACTACTTTTGTTGATAAAAAATGAGACACATAAAGAAAGACTAAACTTTTCACTAAAACTAAAAAAAAAAAAAAACTCAATAAAAACTCAAAAATATGTCAATTGTCATTCGTGAAATTCGGCAGAACGTATCATATATTTTACTTGTATTTTGTTGATTTCATACCTAAAATTATAATTTTTTACCATAAATTATTTTGTGCATAATAAGTTTATGTAACATTTAAAAAATAGATGAGGAAATTTTTAGTATTTTACCGTGAACAGTCTCTGCTAAATAATCGCTTTCTTTGAAATGCGATCTGCACACCACCGCATAGGCAGGAGGTTCCCAGCTCTGAAAACGTGTTTCTCCTCGTCTAATTGCGTGAATCCATGATTTTCGCCTCGTTTGATCTGATGGGAAAGCGTGTCCACCTCTATTACTACACCCAGGTACGCAACAGCAAGTCTCCGGCATGTTTCACGTGTGTATATGACAGCGATTTGTTTACATGTGCTATGGTAAAATCGTAATGATAATGCGCGAGCTAGTTCCGAAGGGGACCGCATTTTTCTGTGGCGCCACCTAAGGGAAAGATAACAGGCGCCGGTGTACCATTAAAGAAAGACGTGTATTTCATTGATTGAAAATCACACTGCATAAGATTTATAGTGTACTGATGGCTTAATAATTAAAATTAAAAAAAAAACACGAAAGATTGAAAGCGTCGATACCACACAATGATATCAAACATAATCAGAAAACTAGAGCGCACTGGCTATATGTATATAAATGAAAGAGATTATTCTGCAAATTAAAGATGTTTTATTTTTATTATTTAAAACCTGTCACATTCTTCAATAAAAGGACATAGTGTACACAACATAAAATCAGAATAGATTTTTTTTGTGAGATATATTTAATACTGGCTAAAGTGTCTTCTTAAAATGAGAGTTGTAAGTAAATAAAGGGGGGGGGGGGGTTCTCAACTTATAGAGCTCATACATGTTCAGTTCTCCACACGAAAAAATAAATTGACAATAACAACCATTGACTATATTAAAGATGCCCTCTAAAAGCTTTTGATGACAATACAAATACACGTGGAAAAAATATTAGATGGGATTTTCTTAACCTTTAAAAATAAAAACTTGTTTTAAAAAGTACTTGGGGAGAAAAACCATTGCAATAACAACACAATTATTATTTTCCGCAGATATTGAAAACTTTGTGAAAGGAGAAATATAAAGATAAAGAAAAACACAAACATTTATGATCTAGTTTTAACATTATGATGTAAAAATGATTATAATAAAATTCATATATGAAATTTAAAAACAAATAAAATGTGACTTTTTTCCTAGAATTTTTTTTTTGTTAGAATACTGTAATGAATTTGTTGATAAAATACTTTCTTTTTAAACAAATAATCATTTCTTAGGCAATTTTAGTCCCTTCCCAGATAAATAACAATGACCACAGTAATTATCAGTAAATCTCAGCATCGACAGCACTTCAACAGTATTTATCAGTATTTATCAGACTCAACAGTAAAGACCACAGTAATTATCAGTATTTATCAGAAACAACTAAAATTATCAGCAACGACAGTAATAATAACAGTAAATATCAGTATTTATCAGCAAGAACAGCACCGTATCAGTAATTATCAAACATTATCAGTAAAATTTGGGATTCTCAGCACTTTTTTCGTCCGGTAGTGTTGGCAAAGACCATGCAGTTACTCCAATGTGTCTTCTGTTTAGTGCTTCTACATCAACAGGTAAAACTTCTGAAGAAATCCAACCCACTCCTAGTAAGAGAAAGCATGAATCAGATTCAGATGTAGAGAATAGTACAGCTTCATCATCATCATGTACAAGTCAAAAGAAAAAGCAACAAACACAGTCATCAGAAGTTATTGAGTTTTTAAGCACATGTGAGCAGAAACAAGAGAAAAAATACAAGAAGGAAATGGAGCAGTGAGAAAAAATGCACACTGAAAAAATGGCAATGTTTAATGCCCTTATTGAAACAATGAAAAAGTACATTATTATCATTATTTCAATTCTTACATTTCCTGACCAAATTAAAAAAAAGCGGATGTGTCACAAAAATTTTCTTTGTGCATAAAACTAGTGTTTGTTGATGCTAGACTTTAAAATGTATATTTAAAGATAATTTATCTCTTTAAATTGAATGACTTGGATGTGCCATTTCGAGAGCGTACAATTTGTTAAGAGAAATGAAATATATGGAGATAACGAACAGTATTCAAGCTCAAAAGTCCATTAAACATATGGATTGTGTTATCTTGGATTGTAGCCATCTGTACTGCTACTCCGAATGTGCCAATCAAATAAAGGAATATTCCATCTGTTGAGGAAAGCTATCAAAATTTTTAAAGCATAGATATATACCAAGAGAAATATTTGCTTTGTTATTCATTTTTTGTCTAATTCAATGAAACTATGTTCTTAAACTAAGCCATACCAAGGCATTGAAATTTAAGGAGGCTGGGGGTCAACAAATTAACCATCAGATATAACTTAATTTTTTAGATATGATATCTTAAGCTGTCAACTATCATTTGGCAAACAAAAATTTCATACATTTTAGTTTTAAAATTTGATCATTTTTGTATATTTTTATATGGAGCTCTTCTTCTAAAGGAGATCAATATAGTCTGAAAATGGCCACAACCACCCAGCCCTCTTAATGTTGGAATTACTATCATATATGAATTTTTATACACCCATCTCACCATATAACGCTGTCCACATCTTGATTTGATTTAGGATAGGCTCTTAAAGTTGATAATATGTTGTGACATTAATTTTTTTTTAAGATTGTGCAAGTATGACTGTCCATTATCCAAAGGAAACTTGCCTTCATTTCTTTTATCATATTGTGAATGCTTATGTATGACAGGTGTACTTTTGTGTACATATTGTTCCTGATTCTAGTCAAATAAACTCAAAAAGGTCTGAATTCTTGTCAATTTATTTAACTTATTAAGGGAAGATTTCACAATATTGCAATTTCTATCAATCAGTGTTGCTCTTAAGGCTGGGAACCACTCCATGGAGTTTTTTGTTTTAGCATACTTTACCATACATTGTAATTAAATACCTGTTATTTTGTGAAATTAAAAAAAAGTGAATCACTGCATTTCCCGAGAGAAATAAGTTTTTGATATTTAAAGGTTAATTAACAAAGATTTGATATATTAAGTTTTCAATAGTTTGGTACATTTTGCAAACTACTCAATTGATCTCAGAGTTCTTCTGGATTTTTTTTTTTAAATACCAGTTGAATTTTTGTTTTGAAAAAAAGCTGAAATAATAATTGGTGTTTTTTTGAAAAATAAAGCTGAAATCATTATTGGTGTTTCTTATTATTTGAAGAAATCCAACAACTTAAAATGAATACATTGAATTTATTGTCAGAAAGATTTGCATATTTCAATAAGTAGCAGTATTCAAGGTCATACTTTTAACGTGGTAAATTGAAATCAATTATAGCACGATTTACAACTCCTTCATTTTATTTGCATTTCTCTGTACAAACAAAATCGGGTTTTGCAATCTGTTATTGTCAAGTCAACCTCTACGAATTCTTCAATAGAGTCGGAATTCAAAAAACAAATGTTGTGAAATACACAGCCTAACAATTTTCAATACAGTTTCCACTTCAGCATTGACTAAATACTGCAGCCTCTTCAATCTTCCCTTTAACAGACCAAAGGATCTTTCAATTGTAACCCTATTAGTAGATAACAACCGATTGAAGTGTTTTTCATCCTGAGTTAAATGACCATTGTTTCTATAGGGAGTCAGTAACCATCTTTGAATGTGATAGGCTCCATCTGCAACAATATGGCCTTAACCACATTGACTTTAACCAGTTTTCCAAAGATCAGATTTTCGCAGTATTCTCGCATCATAGCATCTTCCTGGAAAGCCCAACAAAGCAATGCTTAAATGTCATGTTTTCTCTTCAAACACCTTGTTATTGGAGACTATGAACTCTGTTTTATTCTATTCGTGGAACAGTTGGAATGGTCGAAACTGCGTTCAGAGCGATTCTGGAACTGTAGATTCACACTGGCTACATATACGGATTAAACCAGATTCAACACTCGTCATTGAAGACAACATGTATTTATTGAACCGGAGCTAAGAACAAAGACAAGGGTGATATCTCAACATAAAATTAGACATAGAGAAATAGAGTTATCTTTCTTACATGAAACAATTGTACAAACACTACCCAGTCGAGTACATCCCATGTGATAGTGACTGAGCAAACTACGAGTCTCAAGACTTGTAAAGTTGTTCAGTGGAGTGAATGTCATTGTGACTGTTTTTTTCGTACTGGCCACCATTATGTTTGAGTTTTTGTACGTCGTCAAAACTTCTGACAGTTTGTTTTTTTCGGCTAGTGTTTTAACGAGTATATTTCCCAAGCATGGTCTATCGCGTTTCTTTCATGAGTTTTCTGGCATGAAAAAGAGTTTCTGTGCCTTTCCTTGTTATTGCTTCATTTATAAAGATTTTGTAGGTTCCTTTTTGTTGAATGACTTAGTTATTTTTCTTTGAATAAATGACTGCCAGATCTCTATATGAAAAGAATTTCACAATGATATCACTCCCATAGCGCTTTAAAATAAATTTTTAAAATTGATTCATCTATACTGTAATTAATTAACTTGAATAAATTCTCAATCCATTTTTATTTTGAGAAAAAAAGGAAAGACAAATTATTTGCAAAATCCCAGACATGGTCTGAAATGTAAGGTGAGGGGACGTTGAATGTTGCCTTGGTCTCCACGATTGTTATCGTTTTTAAGTGGTCTGCCCAACCTGTGGGATCTGCTGATGCGATCGAGACTATCTTTGCGTCTTGTGTGTCAAGAACATACTTGTTAATTACATTCAGGATAATTGGTCTTATTTTCGTCTGCATTCTCGGGGATTCCCGTAAACTTCAGACGGTACCGTCTGGAATATTGTTCTATATCGTCCATCCGTAGGGTAAGATTCTCAACTTGTGACTCAAGTTGAGTCTCCTTTTCTACGAGGGCCTCTGATATTGTTTTGCTTGCTGAGTATAACTTCTACATCCTTCTTTATAGCTATTTCATCTTTAGAGATACTATCCAAGGGAAAGTTACGTTTGTTTTTTCCTTCATTGTGATCATGACTGGTCGCGTCGCTACATGTAGTTGCCATTAGGGAAGTGTCACTGACTACTGTAACTAGACTCTATTTCAGACCGTGACTTTTTTGAGCAAATTTAATAAAATACTCACTCGAGTATTTATTTGAGGTAGAATAAGATTTTTTTTATTCCTGGGCATACTGGAGCATTACACATGCAACCATAATGTTACTGAATGGTCGATGATTACTACTCACAAAGTTATGCTACCGAGCCACCTTTATTTTTCTCAATAAGTAACTGGATAGATCACATTTCTTTTGATTACTCACTGTACTGTATCTTCAACAAACATCCTAGAAACATTTCAGTCACTTGTGATTTTTTTTTCAAATTTCAATAATAAAGTTTAATTTTCCGGAGCTGCCCAGAACGCGCTTGGCGTTGTAGCGACCTTGACCATATCGGTATTACTACCCAGCTCAAAATATGGAAAAGTTACGGCCAAATTAAGCGTCTAAGGTCAAGATCAAAAGGTATAAATTTTTAGTACCTAAGGACAAGTCATGTCACAAGGAATATACATTTGAAGTATGAAAATCCTAGCTGCGAACATAATTTCTAAAAAGGAAAGTAAAAAAAAAAGTTACTGCCTGCCTATCCTTATATATTTTGGCATGTTACTGGAAACACAAAATTTTTTAATTGACCAAAGCTAAACAGGTCACAAAAAGTAATGTATCTCGTCAGATTTATTAAATATGAAATAATTTTTGAATGTGGCAACATTTCTGAATTGAGACTGTCCTATTTCACAGATTAAGTATATATCAAACTATATAGTCCATAAAAAAGTAAATAATTATTTTTGTTTGCAGGAAACTAATTACTTTATGTTTATAATGGATACTCGATCTCGGCCATTCACTGCAACAGTGTCGAAATCTAATTGGAAGGAGCCTGACAGGACCAAGAAGGTCAAGGTCACAAAAATCCATAACATCATTGAACTCTGTTTTGAATAATAACAGTTGTGAGACATCACTGAAAATGCTTATGAGAGAGGATTGATTGATTATATGTTGTTTTACGTCCCGTTCGAGAATTTTTCATTCATATAAAGACGTCACCATATACCGGTGAATGGCTTCAAATTTAGACCCTTACTCGGCACTCCGGGCCATTGAGCAGTGAGGGATCCTTATCGTGCCAACGCCCGTCGTAACACGGGGCCTCGGTTTTAAGGTCTCATCCGAAAGACCCGCAACTTTCACTTCAAAGTGCCGAGCGCTTTGCAAAGGAACAGTTGCTACCTATTTTTTTTTTATCGAGTTAGGTAAGTCGCAGCCGGGGCTCGAACCCACGACCTCCCGATCACGGAGCGAGCGCTTTGCCGAGTGAAGCGACCGTGAGAGTCTTTATGAGAGAGGAAAACATAGTAGAAATATAGAAGATGAGAAGACAGTTCGGCAGGTTCGCAGACCAGCCAGAAACACAACCACCTAAAAGGAGTGGGGAGCTGCAAAAAGGTAGGAGAGATTAAGAGAGCAACAGAAAAACTAGATATCAGCTGTTCAAAAAGTCGGGTATACTGATCTTTTGAATATCTTGGTATTGTGAAATAATGCACCTAAATAAATGAGGAAAAATGGTGGACCACGATGGTCAATACCTCAACTTAGAAATGACGTACATATTAATTCTGTTAAGGCACACCAATTATTTTGAGATAAGTTTATTTAGAAAAACAGACAATTATTGACATTAATGGTGATAAGTACATTAAATTTGCACTTGAACTGAGCCACACGAAGGACATTCAC